GGTCTCAAAATGTTCAAAATAATTTTTCCAGACAAATCTTCGCATAAAAATGAGCGTCGGTGGTTTGCTTTCCGGAAATGGGAAATTCGGAAACAACTACTTTGTATGGTTAGAAGGCCTTTGATATTGATGGAAGAAGATTTGGCGATTTTTTTTTTGGGAACGACATGTTCATTTAAACATGTTGGATTGGATTGAAACTATATGTTGATTGCATTTATATTAAAATCTAAACCACAGGGGGAAAGGCTGAGATGAGTTGAATTCTGTGTTCTGTATAATATTTTCATATGTAATTTTAAACACAAAAAATAGTCAAGTAGGATCTTCTAGAAAACGGAAAACTGCGTTAATGCCTATGTTTAACGCGCATAACTTGAAATCAAATTCAACGACCATCAGGTAAATATATACTCCAATTAAGAATAAGAAATGAAAGTTGGTCTGTTTGCTTTCGTTCAAACAGGCATCATTTCAAGTCAACCAATCATAGTTGAGAAAAATGTTTTTGCAAACGAAAGCAAGAATATAAATTACTGTACAGTATCCTTGCTTTCGGCTGCCCATATTGGGTGTGCGACAAAATCGCCGAGGGTGCCGCGCTAAAAAAAAAAAAAAAAAAACTCGACAAAACGCGCAGCATGCTTTCGGCGTCTGTCGGCGCCGGGTTTGGGTCGGCAGATGGCCAATCCTGCAACAACTTGCCAAAATGTAAATAAAAAGAAAAGAAGGAAAAAGATCACCTAGCAGAGCCTATACCCCGCAGTAACAGTATTTCTCTCTCGTTGACTTTTCCCCACGGCAGCTGCGGAGGGCAAACAGTTTTCGTTTGCCAGGCATCAGGTAAATCTGGTCCCTGGAAGATCTGCAGCTTTTAAACGCGAGCATGTGAGTAACTGGTTTCTTCTGGCTGCGTAAAATGTCAGCGTCTTTCTTTAATTCTGGCATGTGTTCCAACTTTGTCGAAAGAAAGAAAAAAAAAAGGTTTCATATGCATCAAGCACTTCCGAGAGAATCCCGCTTTATTTTTGGTGTTGCTGTTCAAGCAACTAAGCTTATTTCATCGCATTTGAAGAAGTCGAGCTTGAGAAATACGATTATAGGGATTTTGCGTCATAAACCGCTAGAAAAAGCTGTCCTAACACCCCCCCCCCCGCCCAGTTATTCCCAAGAATAGCTTTCAATGTCAAAGATGGATTTAATTTAAAATACAGGGAGTGGCGTGAACTCATAAATTCGGAGGTTTTGGCACAGCTTTTTATTCAGTGTAATTTATCATTATTTTATGTCAAAGAAGCGTCAGACCAGTAGTCTGGAAAATACAGTGTCCAACAAAGTTGGCTTTGTGGACAGCTCTTTTTGTGTTTGATTAATATTCAAACATCTTCAAGTGACCGTTTCGAGACTTTGATATGTTAATTCAAAGCTAAAGTACTGTATATGTTTTAATCAGTCGCTCAAAAATGATTTCATATCATTTGTGAAGCGCACAAATGAAATGGAATTAAATACGAATGTTACAGGCTAAAGAAATTGCGTCTATGTCCGTGTATCAAATACTGCGGATGTCGAGTACGGTAATAAACACTCAATTTAACATTTATAAAACCCCAGAATTGATCGGAAATAATAATGCTGCCAGCAGTTTTACAAATCGAAAAGCGCATTTGTTTGCTAGATTAATTGATCGGACGGAAATTGAAACTGATGAAATAGCTGAGCAAGTAAGGCTTTTTGCATCGAATCGACATTCATATAAGAGCTAGGATAATCAAAATTCCAGAGCACTCAGACAGAGAGTGTAGGAAATTTTTGCTATGTTCAGTCGCACTCACAGAAGAGAAGTGGGGGTATAGTGCCAAAAATAAAACTCGATCGCAAAAGAGTCCCAGCATCGTCATCATCATCATCATTATCATCACCACCACAGCAGCCTCCACTTTCTACCAATAGCACCATTCGCTCACTATAGCCTCGACAACAACACCAGTAGCAAAAAAACCCTCTTCTTCTTACCATTGGTACCTCTGCAAAAGCAACACGAACCAGACACACTCGTAAACAGCATCGGAATACGACTTCTTAGAGGCACGCGCCGAAATGCCGGCTCATTCATTACCAGAAGAAACGTGCACGCCGCAACACTCCGAGTCAATTTTTGCCTTAATAATTTTTTAACAATTTGTTTTGCATTGTTCCACCACCTACCAATCAACTCCCTCCCTCCACCTCTAAAGAATCACGATAAATAAAGAAACAAAAGTAGGATCGGAAAATAAATAACTTCGAGCGACAGCTTCTCCTTCGACCAGTGCGGGCTTCCACAAAGTTAATTATCGGAAATAACTGTTCAAACCTAGCCTTTTCGCAAAAATTCGACGAAATATAAAACAGAATAAATCGCGTATCTCATTTTGAATGCTTTACCCTTCAACATTTATTTCACGCTTGTCATTCTCAGAAGGATTGGCTCAGGGATTTTTGTGCCAGCACTCATAGACTGGAAAACAAACTTTTTTCTTGAGAAAATGCAAGTTACTCGAACGAACTAAATTTGAAAGAAGGATTGAGATACAATTTCGTTCGTTCGTCTCTTTCGTTTTAAATTTTTGCTCCATCCTAAACGCGTTCATTCAGCATATAAAAAAAATGAACGAATGCTTCACGCACATTTTCTATCGCGCTCAATCTTTCATTTCACCGTGTTTATTCTTCTGGTCGTTCACTATAATTTTCAACGGTTTTTTCATCAAATGCCGAGAGAATGAGGAATTACTGTACAGTACGTTGATTTCTTCTGGTCCCGTGCAATGAATTTCATAAGAATGAGTTTTCCGTGATTTCAGATCGTGCCGATCACGACATCGTATAGGCATCACTTAGTTTTACAAAATGTCCTGAGAACATCATAGATCGTTCTTTTCTCTTTCTTCAAACATTCTTTAAAACTCCATTTATATGGTCACATCTAAGGAGTATGAGGCATCTATGAGGAAATCCGAAGTGAAGGAGCTAATTTCACGCCAGAACATTCAACGTTACAGATTTAAAAGCATTTAAAATGATCAGTGTTTCCTGAGCAACATCTTTTAAGCTGTAAATTTTGAATTATTTTGTGAAATATATGCGCTGAATATTTACCCGAAAATTTTGCAAATGGTGTGCGATCTATTTCGTTTTGTATTTTTTCCCCCTTTGAAATCGTTGCTCAAAAAGTGAGTAAGTCCACACTGTCGAAAAACTTTCGTGAAGTCCTCCCATTCCTATGAACACACGTGCGGCAATGAGGGAAGATTTTTACCTGCGTGGACTCACCAGCAGCAGATGCACTTCTGGCTAACAAGCTACAGTGTATAACACAATTGGCTAAAAAAATAAAAACAAAACGAAACAAAAATTCGGCTCAAGAAAAAGGTCCGAGGCGTGTGATTAAGTGCCGGACGCGTGCCTTGACGCGGCGCAGGCATAGGGTGTCGAACGAAGAAAATAATAAAGAGTAAAATGGACACACGTTTTTTCACTCTTTTTTTTCAAAGGTGGGCGGTGATGGGAAAGTGCTAAATTTTCGCGGCTTTCGTTTGTGTTTGATTTACACCTTACTTTGTCCACAAGCAACAAAAATTGGCCAATTAAAACAGCGAAAACACTCGAGTATGGCAGAGAGAAAAAAAAACACTCGCTTTTTACGTGAACAATCAACGATTCAATCGCCCTTTGAAATATAACACCGGGATTCAAAAATGTAACAAAAGGGGCATAAAATATATATTGTGTAACAATATTTCATGCTTTTCTCTATATATAGTCACTCTTTTACAGCCCCTGGCTTTCCATCTTCTTTAAAAATATGTCATCTGTAGAGCATCGTTCCTATAAAACCCCGGAATTGAATTTTTATACTCGTCGAATTGTGTTCAGCCTGGCAGTCGCCTGCTGCAGATGCTCATCTGATGAAAAAGAACCACAAAGTATTCATTAATCTATTCCCTCATGCCCACTGGAGTAATTTAAATGTAGGGGGGTTGGGTTCTCCACTGAACTCAAATCGATGCAAGTGGCACTCATTTTCATAATTTAAATGGAATTTTGCGTGATTACCTCCTGTCGAAGCGTATCCTTTGTATTTTCTTTTAAGTTCAAAATCATTTTATTTTTGAACGTGAGGAGTTTGCTTTTTCAATACGGTAATTGAAATTGTTTGCTTACAGTTTTTGCAGCAGGACAAATGAAGAACATGTTAAGCATAAAAAAAATTTTCGGAACATTTCCTGCCATCGCACTGAGAGAAAACGTCAGATTGAGCTGCTCGTCTTAGATTTTTTTTTGCATCACACGAAAATCCATGGTTCTAGTTTAATTTTATGACCATTCCACGCATTGAAAAAAAAACAGTAATTCTCGTGTTGTAGTTACAATAAGCTTTCTTGTGAGGGATGATCCTTGAACAGCGATTTTGTTTCAGATTTGAGCGGCTCTGTAATTCTTTGATTAATTTAGCCGGAAACGCGATTATAGAACTTCTTTTCTTGGCTGCCAAGAAATATTTTCAAAATTTGCTTCGGCCTTGTATCGATCTAGTTCAATTTTATGACCATTCCACGAATTGCAAAAAATAATTTTTCTCGTGCCGTAGTTGCAATAAGCCTTCTTGTCAGGGTCGATCATTAAACAACGATTTTTTTTCAGATTTGAGCGGCTCTAAAAATTCTTGGAGTAATTTAGTTGGAAACGCGATTATAGCACTTCTTTTCTTGGCGCTGCCAAGAAATATTTTCAAAGTTGTATCGGTCTTCCTTTTCTAATCCACCCTGTATGCGAGTGTTTCAAAAAAAATGATATGTGGTTTTTAAAGAATAAATGTGTGCCCAAAAATCCTCACACGTTTTCCTTTTGTTCACTTGACTCACTTGGGGCTCTCATATCATGCAACTCCATCCCGTTCTTGCAACACAGCGGCTGCATATACTTTATATACAGTATATGAAACCTGCACCGTCTGATTAAACATTCATTCCCGGGGATGGCTTCAAAAATTGCATGCAAAACACAAGCTGGTTGCGTAAATCCTCGCTGCTCTCGTCAAAATACAAAGAGGCAAGCCCCAGGACCCCAACAACAATGATGCCGAGTGTATTAATCTCGCCGCCTCTTGCGAGATCAAAACACGCTCGCGGCGGTATTTCACAACGGTGGATGGCGGCAGCAACACGATGAATGACCCTCCCCACTCGAATAAAAACCAGGGCCACGGGGTTCGGGATGAGCAGCGGTCGTATTATCGAGATTGGGACCCGCATTACGCAGCCCGACACCTAATATCATTATCGCCGAGCTGCCTAGAAATATATTTATAGAGAGACAGAGAGAGGAAAAAAAAAGAGTTTTATTTTGTGGCGGAAAATATTTACCCCGACGAGACCCCCGGACAATGCTGATGCGCGGAAAATAGCCCTTTTCTCTAACTCCCCCCCCCTTTTTTCCCGTGTTTCATCTGAAAAATCCATCCCATTGATTACGCTTGGGCTGCAAAGGACGAATGAAAGTGTCAAGTGCGTCCTGTTCGGGGAAGTTCATTATAGAGCAGCACGTGCGATTTTATCAAGTGATCTGATATTTGCGAGTGAAGCTAGACGACCATGAGTTTAGCAGGTTTTTTTCAAAGCCAATGTCAAGAAATCGGGAATATTTTTCATTATGGGGTGAAGACAGTTTTTTTCTGGTAATAACAAGCAACATTGAAGCTTATTTCGAAAGACTGCGTAGGTGGGTATTGAAAGGAAGCAAAAGAAGGCGGGTTTCCTCTGTTTTGGTGCACTATTTTAAAGATCGAAAAAGAGAAACAAATTCCAATCTGGAAGATGAAAAGTGGCTTTCATTCCTGAAAACAATATTAATTCTAAACATTCTCTGTCATTTTCGAAAATAAATGTCAAGATGAATAATGAGCGAGGTATTTGTTCGAATGACTTCACACGTTTGACAAATATTTTTTGCAGCACCTCCAAAATAATTTTCTTTCAAGTCCTACAATAAAAATAGGCACGATTCTTCGGCATTTTTTCACATCCTGTATAGAAAAAACATTGTCGCAATGAGGTTCACTTTCTTTACTATATGCTGTCAAGTTTGTAAGAAAATGGCCTCAGAAGAAAACCGTGCAGCACATAATCGCACAGATAATCACAGAATTTATTCCACAAGTTTTGTATCCGTCCAGAAGAATTATTCTTTTGAAAAACGATACCCTTTTGCCGAAACAAACCACAGCACCTTCAACAGAAGCAAGAGATCGCGGGCCAAAAATAGAAAATATTTTTGAGAAAAATTTGGCCTGCACAAAAACAATTCTGCGAAATTTTTGGACACATTTTAAGGCAGCCACATTCCTCCAAAAAATGCCTTACATTTTCCCTATCACTTTTCACATTCTTTTTGCAATCAGCTGATGATGCAGCACATCAATTTATTATACTTTTCTATTTTCGGCCAATCAGAGGCCAGGGAACATGCAAGAATGTTCTGGAATTTTCTGGTCAGTTCACTTGATCAGAAAATTCCAAAAAGCCAATAAAAGCTCTAATCAATTCATATGTATAAGCAGTATGTCCTGAACTCTTGAAGGACAATCTTCTCCTTCACTTTTCCTGATATGTGCACAAATCTGTTATTCTTATTTATGCTGTGATCTGATCTTGTGATTCAATTATGTTGTGTGGATTGATTGTGTTTATTCTATTGAATTCTTAATCTTATTTGACTCTGCTGAAAACATTCAATAAAATTTATTAAAACTAGGAACATATATTCAGGGCAACCCCTTGAATATGCTATTTTGGCCACAAAAGTCTGATTGCCTGTGTTTTTATTTCTTTATTTATTTTGTGAATCTTGATTACACATTTTTAAATTTCTTGTTTCAGACTCCAAGCAACACAAGCTCAGTTCATGTCCAAAGGCTCCCCCTCTTTTGTTTTTCTGCACCTCTCCGGCAATGAATATAAATTTTATAATTCCACAGCGCTTCCATATAGTGTCTCTGAATAATCGAATTTTGCGGATATAGCGCGTAAATCGCGCGTGTGTCATTTCCCCTGATTATTATGGCAAAATGCATCGCTCAGACACAATACGAGCCCGCAGAAACTTCGGCGAAATTACCGCATTTTCGCGCAGTGATGGGTGCGATAAAACGCGACGCAACGTTGTTATATGCATGCCTATGGGCTTTTTGGACGGAAGGAAGGAAGAAAGGGAGGAATGAATGAAGGAAGGAAGGAAGGATGGAAGGACGTACTGTACTGAATGTACAGGGTGGGAAGAAGAAGAAGCCTCTCGCGATGGGGCCTGGGAATCGTCAAGTTTGGCTGTAATTTGATTACAGGCGTCGGCCCTCCCGAACATGGCCGACAGCTCTTCCGTCTTCCAACACTATATAGCGCTTCGGGTACGCATATACGGTTTATTCGTGGAGCTGATCCACTTTTCGAAACAAAACAAAGAAAAAAAACAAAGAAAAAAAACTGGAGAGAAGAAATTGAAATTATCGCGGGTATGGCGCAGGGAAGTAGGTTTCATGTTTCATATTTTGCGAGAGTTGCTCTAGATTTCTCGTGATGGAATATAAAATGCCGTCGATTCAGCAATGAGACAAACCTCAATATTTCTGCTGTTGTTTTGAAAATTGCTTGTGATTTTTTTTTTTGAAATTGTGCAAGTTGTTCGCAGTATGTAAGGAAAATTTGAGGAAAAAATGTTGAGAGTTTACCTCTCGAGATGTAAAGATATTTACTTAATGCTAATTAACCACAATTAAGTGCAGGAAATGCGAATGTTTCTTTTTCTATCTAAAGGCTTCAAATTTTATAATTTAAATACATTTTTGGCGCAAGAAGAGCTATATTTTGTAGTGCTTCCTCTATTCAATAGTTTGTCAAAGTCGCCGCTAAAACCTTTAAAGAGCAGTTACTGTATTCTGAAATTCTGCGACAGAAAAGTCTCCAGGAGACCTTTGTACGCATGATCAAATTTTCTTTTCCAAGAATGAGTACGGTACTATAGTTTAATATTTTCCCTGAGTCAATGATTCCGCCAAAATATTTTACCATTTTAAAATCCGAAAATTATTCAGAATATTGTTCTAAACGAAATGAGAAACTGTTCTCGCTGGTATTTGAAGTGCCATATTTAAAGAAAATCCAACGCATCGTGGAAGTATTGTACCAGCCGTTTTTTTTTTCATTCCATCTGCGAGAATGAAAAATATTTTCTTCTATTTCACCGGGAAAATTTTCTGATCACACGGGAAAATCAGCTGCCATTTTAAAATTTTTTTTTCGGCATCGACCGGAAGAAAACAATTCTTTCAATGCTGATTTGAGGCTAATGGAAAACGCCCACTTTTGGATAAAATTGCATCGCATTCTGACGATATATTTTCCGTCACCTTCATCAAAATCCCGCACAGGAAGTAAAAATTGACGAGTGAATTATCACACAATAAGGAGCCGAATTTTATATTAGCTTCAAGCGGAATTTCCACCAGACGATCTTCAGATAATTCTCACGTTCTCGCACACGTATTAAAATTAACCGATGCATCTGGAACAATCATTAAGAAATGTGGCCGCAAAATTAAGTACTGCAAAATAGCGAGGATGCACTGATCCTTTGAATTTAAAAATAAATTTCATACAACCATTTTTATTTCTTCTAAAAACGCGATAAATAAGCTCTCAGAAATTTGTGAGTAATAAATGGCGTTAAATGTATGCGCTAAATCAGAAAAGAGTTACCCTGGAATCAAATAAAAACGCCGACACTTCATTGTGCTGCCTAAAACACGAGGCACACATAGATATGCAAAATCAATTCAATTTCAGGTCAGATAGGGCAATTTTTTTTAAAGATAAATGAAAATCGTACATTCATCCAACGATCCTACTTCGAAAAAAAAAATTCAAGACATCCATGGAATTTCTCGCAGAAAATAATGTAACCATACTTATCTTCTTTAGATATTAAAAGCACAAAATGAACGAATGTTCCATCAGTTAGAACTAAATGATATAAATGATACTTATTATATCCTTTTCTTCTTATACGACCTTGCTCATTTATAATGCCTTCGAAACAAGAGTTTCGCTGATTCAGCAAATCGCGTGTTGTAACTAGCATGTTTGTTTCCACGAACTCATACGTGGCACAACGAGTTTTGGAACGTCGACTAAATCTGAGTTGACCTCATTTTTCAATTAAATTTAGAGTCATCATTTTTATAGTCAGCAGGTGCTGCTTTTCCTCACACTTTCTTGTCGTGTCTGATGATCAAAAATCAGTCAATAAAACGATTCTTGTGCACGAACACAATTTATTTGACAAGTTTGCATCCTGACTATGCCTCTTTCGATAATCGGGGAAAAAAAGTAATTCGGTGCACTGTAAATGAAGTACATAAATTGTCATTGCGAAGTGCAGATCAGCTGATTATACACTGATGCAAGGTTCACCAGATTAATGCGGCAAATAAAAATAATTTCTTTGGAAATTTTGGATATAGACAAAATGGTGGTTCACTAATGCTATTCAAGCGATTTGCTTTAATGTACAATACTGCTGTACTTTGAAGACAGGGTGGCGCCTTTGAAGTATAAAGTAACTGTACTTGAAAACTTCATTGCACATGAGCAAGAGAAGCAGAAATTCTTTCATAAGTGTTTGGGATTAAAGCGGCATTTGAAAAATGAATGTAATGAAATATTCTATGCGTAAACTCCCTTCTGATTTTGAAGAAGCTTAAGTAAACAACAGTGTACAGCACTAGTTTAAATTTTCTTTAAATATTCTTTTCATTTTTAATTTCTGAAGCAGCAAAAATATTATTATAACTAACGTACTGTTCTACATCGAAGCGAAAAGAAAAGTAATGTTTCGTGTAAGGAAAAAAAAGTTGCTCACCTTAATCCGAATTTCGTCATCGGGTACGCCATCGTCGTATTGTGGGGACGCCCCGTAGCCAGTCGGCGTTGCCGGCGGCGACATGGTGATCGGACTTCCACACGATTGCTGCATCGACGGCGACTTGGAGTACGAACTATCAGAGTCCCTTCCGCCACCGCCGCCGCCGCCGCCACTGCTGTTGCTGTTCCGTGACGAATGCTGCAGTTGGTTCGCCGCCGCGGCCGCCGCAGCTGCAGCCGCCGCCGCCGCCGCCGCCGTTGTCGCGAAGCTCGGGAATCCCACCGCCCCGGCCTCATCCGTGCTCAGCAAGTCCATGAGATACGCTATGTAGCTGGTGGCCAGACGCAGAGTCTTGATCTTGGAAAGCTTCGTGTCGGACGGCACATTCGGGATGCATTCTCGCAAGTCCGCGAAGGCGTTGTTGATGCTCTGAGTCCGGCGCCGTTCTTTCTTGTTGGCAGTGTTCCGCTTTTTGGGCGGCGGACGACCGCCGACGACGACCGACGCCAAGTGGTTCATCATCATCGCGTTGCTGGCCGCTGTCGCCGCTGTCGTTGTTGTCACTGCTGCTGCTGCTGCTGCTGTGATGGTCGTCGTCGTTGTCGAGGTATTCGACGCTGTGATTGTCGCTCGGCTGCTCGGCAATGCTGGTGCTGGACATGTTGGATGGAGCTGGTGTTGTTGCTGCGGTAGATGATGCTGCTGCTGATGGTTTTGGTGGGGGTGGTGGTGGTGGTGGTTGTGGTGCTTGGTGCTGTCTGCCTCAGCTGCGTAAACGTAGGAAAGGTGGTGATGGTGGTTGTGCGGCAGAGGTGGCATCGTCACGTGGCACGGAGTCGGTGTGACGGATCCGGGATCGAACCTCTGTTGCTGGTAATCGTATTCTGGGTACAGTGTGGTGTACTCGCTCATGATGAACTCGGACTGCGAGGATCCGTCTGGCTGAGACCAGTGTGTCAAATACCTGCGCATATATATGTAATGATTTCGTGAATTGCAAGCCCTAGGATTTCACACTTATTCGGGATTTGAAATACCCAATACCTCCGTGCCCCTTTTTATTCCCCCAAAAAATGGAAGGAAACTGCGATGCGTTTGGTACACGGGTGTGAGAATTTTGAAGATTGAAAAAGGGTTACAGTGTAACGTTTTTGAACAGAAATATGATGAAACTCTCGTAAATCATTGGGCACAAAACGGGGAAAAACTGCATTCTTTGTGCATAACGCCTCCATTTTATTCTCCTATCCCATGAACAGTACTGTACTCATCGAGGCAAAATTTATCTTTTTTTCTTTTTTTTTTTTACGGAAAATCTTCCGGCCAGGAAAACCCGGGGAGCAAAGTTTAGGCAGGTACGGGGTTTCGGGAAAATCTTACATAAAGAGTATTGCTTTAGTTGTGCGTCTTATTTTAGGAGTCAAGTGATCACAGATGAAAAAACAAGATGCCAAATAAGCAAGTTAGAAGCTGAAGGGCACATTCATGTAAATGTAAGTAAAAGTATGCAAGCAGAAAACAAGCATGTGGAATTTGGGAAACATAGGCAATAGACTCCAAAAAAAATATTGAAGTATACAGTACAGTATTTTACACCTGCGGCTGACTTTCATCATAGAGGGATCCCAGACATTGAATGTACTGTGCTTGGCACGCCTATTGCATTCGGATATCATTATTTCCGTGCTTGAAAATAATTCTTTGTTAGACTTCAATGCATACATTTTCAATTTCTCTTTAAAATGCTGGCAAAATACCGTCAAGATCGGCTAATTGTAGTTTGTGGAATATAACAGAAAGCTATGGAAATTCAATTAGAAAATGATTTCTTTTATAAATACATCCAAGAAACAGCCACAAAAAACCAACACGAGCAATTCCCTTCACGCGTGAACATTTGAATGTAATGATAAATGCAATTAAATATCCCTTAATTTGACATTACTCAGCGTTAAAGATCTCCTAGCGATAGGAAAACTAATTTTTTTTAGCTTTTTTTCCCCCACATTCGCATAGCCTGCAGATCAATTTGTGATTCATCTCGAGATAGATCAGCAGTTGAACATCCATTCTTAGATAAGGATTCAAAAGATAATTAGTCACAAATAAAGGGACATCACTTTTTTATAGTACAGTATTAATGCGAGTATACATGTACTGTACATCATTTGGATATTCAACACTTGCATTATAATTCCTTCCCAAATTTTAATGGGGACTATTTTTAGTTTAGCTGATAAAATGAATAAATATCAGTAAATGAGAAGAAAGGAATGAGCAGAAAAAAGACGACTACACGAAGAAAATGGCGACTACTAAATCATGTTCACTTTGCTCAGAGCAATTGCGTTCTGCTCGAGACAAAATGGACGACAACCCAGTATTTTTTTATGAAAAGGCTCAGATCAGCAGGTAGAAGAGATATATACAGGGCCAATGCAGACAAGATATCATTTTTAAAACGTTTGGCAGACCATCGCAAACTCATGATGGTCCCACTCTTGGTCTTGAGGCAGGATTTATGACCATAATAAAAGACAGGCGCATTGCCCCTTTTGTATATACTCACCCTGGGTCAGGATCGCAGTAGACGTCATGGTGCGACACAGAGTGGAGCTGCGTGTACTGCTGAGCAGGCTGGTGGTGCGGGTTGTGGTGGAAGTAGTGGTACTGCTGAGACACTGGCACTGGTGTCACGTCGTGCACTTCGGCCGCCACTGAGCCCGGCGGTGAGCAACACGCCCAAGGTGAGCCGCGGTTGCGGTGGTTTGAGTACGGGAGCAGCGGGCTGTTTTGCAGCACCGACAACGGCTACAGAAAGAAACAGAACGAGAACACTAAGTTCTGGTGGACGAAGAACATAGAGTGGGACACGAGTCAAGAAGAGGTTTGTTTAGACTGTCACTTCCGAGTGAGTCTCTTTTTTCTTTTTTTTAAATATTTATTTACTGCAGTATTATTGTGCGTCCTCGCGATGGGACGAATAAAATGAGCGGATTAACGCTTCAGATCCGCAGCGGCGGTTGCTTGGATGCTCGATGCTTCTGCTCGGATCTCGCATCAAGATCGCAAGTGTTGAGCAAATGTCCAAAAGGTCCCCCGCCAAATTGTCTTTCTTCCTGAAAGCAACGCGATGTTTCGAAAACTCCTCCCAATTTGGAGTGAACGATTTAAATCCACGCGATTCCTGAAAGCCAACAAACAAACGTCCAATTCCTCAAGCCAACTTCAAAAATGAAAAAAAAAATTTATGTCGGGGTTGTTCAAAAACGAGCAGAAAAGCTGTTTTTTTTTATTTATCGTACACAGCTCGTTTGGTGCTACGATGAAATATTAAATGAAAAACGTGGAAATGCTGTACTGTACTGTGAATTCGATTCATTTTTTTTTTGCATCAGACTCATGTCGTTTAGCGAGAAAATCAAAGATAAAGTAAAGGTTGTACCAACACTACCTTCTTACGATTTCTGAGCAAAAAAAACGTACTTGAACAGGTATGATATTTAAAGTAAATTATCCCTTTCTGCTTTATTATGATACTTCAAATCATTCAAACGTTGGACTAAGATTATTCACATTGATTCAAAACAGTGCACAGTATTTCTCTTATATTTTAGAAAATTAACTTGCAAAAATGGAAGATTGCCTTTTATATTTTTTGGTAAATAAGGAATTTCAATTGGCTGTAATAACGACCATAACCAGTAAAGAATGATAAAAGGTACCATTTCAAAGCTAAAAAGTCGAATGTTGTTTAAGATAAACGCAATCTCGCAGTATTCACCGTTCTTTAGGTATACGTATTGGAATTTGATTGAAGTTTTATCTTTTGAATTTGAAAACTGGGTTCAGAGGTAATTCTGTCAAATGACGGTGCTGACACCCATGTAATGAAACATGAAAAGGAAATTAACGCGATTCAAAAGCGATGGAATAAAGTTATTCTTTACATTTAAAGTCAGATTTATAGCCATCATTTTTAATGAAAATTTTAATTTCATGATATGACAAAATTAACTGGTCCGCCTTAAAATTTTCGATTATTGGTATAACTTTGAAGGTTCTCTTGATTCCGAAATTCTTGTCACGCGTTTTTTTTTATCAAGTTCTGTATAAGAATATAGGGAGACATGGAGCCGGTTGATATTCATTATGATCTACGAGTATTGACAGAGATACGAACGAAGACATTCCGAAAAATCAACTTTTTTTATGAAGAGACAATGAATCACTATTGTAAATTTAAAAGCACAACAATAAAATGAAGGTTTTCTATCGTGTATTCCTGATGCTACTTTTCATCCTAAGGCCGCTCAATTACTTCATAATATCGTTATTCGCATTTCTATCAGGATGGCGGTGCTTCATTTTGTTAATTAACACAATTTTCGATTATGTCACAAGATCTCATTACAAGTTGGACACTATAATTCAATTGGGATGCACATCAAGCTTATTAATGGGTTTCAAGCTGATACAATTACAGAATTTTGAAGATTTAATTTATTTTTGCCAGGAATTTTTTTCAAAACCTTTTTCTTGGACTTCTTCAGAAGCAACACACAATAAAGGGACTTCGCAAGTACAGACATTCCTTTTTTAAATGAATCTTCTGCACGTAACAGGTTAAATATTTTGAGCTATCACTTTTTAAAAAGTATACTGTACTGTATCCACATACTGTATGGATGTGCAAGGACCTGACGGAAACCATGTGCTTTTACACGCTAATTCAAAACAAGCACATTAAAAATAACAAGCCTTATACTGAACATTACACATAAAGTCTTGCAAAAAGCTAGGGGATCCCCTAGCTTTTTGCAAGACTTTATGTGTGTTCTTTTAAAATTACCTCGGATAAAAGCTGCATCGATGCAGCTTTTATCCGAGGTAATTTTTATTCTTAATTAAAAGAACATTCTTCTCAGCTAAAATAATTTTAGAACTGGTCGTCGTACCCATTTTACGAAAGAAATCAGCTTAGGGTCTTTGCGAATTTCACAACGTTTTCGTGAAGATGTATTCATTCATTCGATTGTTTGACCTTACTAGTACTCCAGAGCCGATCAATAATGTGCCTCTACGTTTCCCGAGTTTTGGCTCAAACTCTGGTTTAATTTTTTTTTAAAGAGACCTTGATCTCTTTCCATATTTCATTATTTCCGACATGACTTATAGCGGCACAGGTAATATAGTGCTGAACGACGAGAAAAACTGAAACATCGTAAAAAAAATACGTACACGAGATGTCTAAAAGGCAGGAAGAATATGATTGAAAAAACCCCTAAAAGTGTAATTCAGGAAGGGGAAACAATCGACATTAATTAGGGACGGTGCAACTTGACGCGAACCAGATGCGTTTCCTCGCCGCGAAAATTGGGGCGCTCGTGCAGCTTTGCTTGACGAACATCGCAAGAAAAACTAAAAAAATAATGCATATAACGTACTCTATTTTATAACTAACGAAGTACCCGGAAGTTCATCAAACTAAGCGACACGTCAATATTTTCAGCCAACAGAACAAGAACCGATTTTTTTCATATAACTACGCGATGCGACACTCATGAACGCATCGTCGACGTAACTTCCAGTTCCACTAGACACAAGGCGGATAAATAACGCGGTGTCGGAACGTCAACGCTTTTTTTTCGTTTAGATTATAAATATTTTAAAGAAATACAAGCATGATGAAGTAAATTTTGGCGTTTATTCCTCGACAAGCTTGCTGTTGTAGCGTTGTAACGATTCGGGGACTGGGAAAAGACGATGCGCAGATGGCTGTTGCCTCGATTCCACGAAGAGACTCGGGTTTCAGTTCCACTCGGCGCCAACGCCACCAAACTCATGCCCTCGTCGCCCGACAAAACGTCGTGGCTGTTGCCGATGTCTTTCTTTGTCTTGCTCTTGTGATTCAAGACCACCTGCTTCTTGTATCTCACCCCCACGAGTCAAGAAGAGGTTTGTTTAGACTGTCACTTCCGAGTGAGTCTCTTTTTTTTTTTAATATTTATTTACTGCAGTATTATTGTGCGTCCTCGCGATGGCACGAATAAAATGAGCGGATTAACGCTTCAGATCCGCAGCGGCGGTTGCTTGGATGCTCGATACTTCTGCTCGGATCTCGCATCAAGATCGCAAGTGTTGAGCAAATGTCCAAAAGGTCCCCCGTCGAATTGTCTTTCTTACTGAAAGCAACGCGAGGTTTCGAAAACTCCTCCCAATTTGGAGTGAACGATTTAAATCCACGCGATTCCTGAAAGCCAACAAACAAGCGTCCAATTCCTCAAGCCAACTTCAAAAATGACAAAATTTATGTCGGGGTTGTTCAAAAACGAGCAGAAAAGCTGTTTTTTTTTGTATTTGTCATATACAGTTCGTTTGGCGCCACGATTAAATAGTAAATGCAAAACGTGGAAATGCTGTACTGTACTGTGAATTCGATTCAATTTTTTTTTTTTGCATCAGACTCATGTCGTTTAGCGAGCAAATTAAAGATAAAGTAAAGGTTGTACCAACACTGCCTTCTTACGATTTCTGACCACAAAAACGTACTTGAACAAATATGATATTTAAAGTTAATTATCCCTTTCTGCTTTATTATGATACTTCAAATCGTTCAAACGTAGGACTAAGATTATTCACATTGATTCAAAACAGTGCATTTCTCTCATCTTTGATCTATAGTTTAGAAAATCAACTTGCAAAAATGGAAAATTGCCTTTATATTTTTTGGTAAATAAGGAAGTTCAATTGGCTGTAATAGCGACCATAACCAGTAAAGAATGTTAAAAGGTACCATTTCAAAGCTAAAAAGTCGAATGTTGTGTAAGATAAACGCAATCTCGCAGTATTCACCGTTCTATAGGTATACGTATTGGAATTTGATTGAAGTTTTATCTTTTGAATTTGAAAACTGGGTTCAGAGGTAATTCTGTCAAATGACGGTGCTGACACCCATGTAATGAAACATGAAAAGGAAATTAACGCGATTCAAAAGCGATGGAATAAAGTTATTCTTTATATTTAAAGTCAGATTTATAGCCATCATTTTTTAATGAAAATTTTAATTTCATGACATGACAAAATTAACTGGTCCGCCTTAAAATTTTCGATTATTGGTATAACTTTGAAGGTTCTCTTGATTCCGAAATTCTTGTCACGCGTTTTCTTTATCAAGTTCTGTATAAGAATATAGGGAGACATGGAGCCGGTTGATATTCATCATGATCTATAGATAGAGATCGAACGAAGAAATTTCGAAAAATAAATTTTTTTATGAAGAGACAATGAATCACTAGTGTAAATTTAAAAGCACAACAATAAAAGAAAGGTTTTCTATCGCGTATTCCTGCTACTTTTCATCCAGAGGCCTCTCAATTACTTCATAATATCGTTATTAGCATTTGTATCAGGATGGCGGTGCTTCATTTTGTTAATTAACGCAATTTTCGATTATGTCACAAGATCTCATTACAAGTTGTGCACTGTAATTCAATTGGGATGCACATCAAGCTTATTTATGGGTTTCAAGATGATACAATTACAGAATTTTGAAGATTTAATTTATTTTTGCCAGGGATTTTTATTCAAAACCTTTTTCTTGGACTTCTTCAGAAACAACACACAATAAAGGGACTTCACAAGTAGACTTTCCTTTTTTTAATGAATCTTCTGCACGTAACAGGTTACATATTTTGAGCTATTACTTTTTAAAAGGTATATACTGTATCCACATCGTGTTTGGATTTGCAAGGACCTGATGGAAACCATGTGCTTTTACATGCTAATTCAAAACAAGCAAATTAAAAATAACAAGCCTTATACTGAACATTACACATAAAGTCTTGCAAAAAGGGGATGCAGCTTTTATCCGAGGTAATTTTTATTCGCAATTAAAAGTGCATTCTTCTCAGCTAAAATAATTTTATAACTAGTCGTTGTACCCATTTTACGAAAGAAATCAGCTTAGAGTCGGTCTTTGCGAATTTTACAATGTTTCGTAAAAATATATTCATTCATTCGATTGTTTTACCTTACTAGTACTCCAGAGCCAATTAATAATGTGCCTCTACGTTTCCCGAGTTTTGGCTGATATTCTGATTTAATTTTTTGAAAGAGACCTTGATCTCTTTCCATATTTCATTATTTCCGACATGACTTATAGCGGCACAGGTAATATAGTGCTGAACGACGAGAAAAACTCAAACATCGTAAAAAAAAATACGTACACGATATGTCTAAAAGGCAGGAAGAATATGATTGAAAAAACCCCTAAAAGTGTAATTCAGGAAGGGGAAACAATCGACATTAATTAGGGACGGTGCAACTTGACGCGAACCAGATGCATTTCCTCGCCGCGAAAATTGGGGCGCTCGTGCAGCTTCGCTCGACAAACATCGCCAGAAAAAACTAAAAAATAATGCATATAACGTACTATATTTTATAACTAACGAAGTACCCGGAAGTTCATCAAACTAAGCGACACGTCAATATTTCCAGCCAACAGAACAAGAACCGATTTTTTTTTTCATATAACTATACGCGATGCGACACTCATGAACGCATCGTCGACGTAACTTCCAGTTCCACTAGACACAAGGCGGATAAATAACGTGGTGTCGGAACGTCACGGCTTTTTTTTCGTTTAGATAATAAATATTTTAAAGAAATACAAGCACGATGAAGTAAATTTTGGCGTTTATTCCTCGACAAGCTTGCTGTTGTAGCGTTGTAACGATTCGGGGACTGGGAAAAGACGATGCGCAGATGGCTGTTGCCTCGATTCCACGAAGAGACTCGGGTTTCGGAATTTATTACGAAGACAGTCGACGTTGACACTGGAGAAATTCCAGATTCTATATACATAATTCTAGAAAGCAGGTTCGACGACCATCGTCGACAAGTTCGTAGTTGCAAAACTAAACACTCTCAAATAATATCCAATCCTTTGTGGCTTCAAATCCATCGTCATCCAATCACATAACTCGCCGCACAATTGAACATCGCACTCACTCGAGGTAAAAAAAATAAATCACTTTGACGTTTCTTAAAATTTGAAGAACTTTCGCGAACCACAGACAAAAAATCCTTCGAGCGTGTTCATATTTTATTTAGCTTTTTTTTTGTTCGAATCTCGAGTACTAACTATAGGACTGCTCGACCGAGTGTTGAAGGTCGACTGTTTGTTTCATCCCGGACAGAAGTCGATGTTTAGCTGGTGCACTGCGGGTTCGAACTGCTTCTGTGGGGTCAGGGGTAGAAGAAGGAAAAATTACTTTTTTGCTGGGTAGGCGAGGGAAATGTCGAGGTGGGGCGGGGATCCCGGGATCCGACACAATACGAGCTGAAGCCAATGGGAAGCCTCGACTGGGCCTTTATTCCCCGCCGAGCTCCGCCCGGAATTCGTTCTATATGGTGGTGGGCGGAAATGGGGCTGGGCTTTCGGAAGGAATCACTCGGCTTTGTCGGCATTGGATAAAAAAAGGCCGCCGCTGTTGCGTGACAACAACTGCTAAATGGGATTTGCTGCTTTCCATTCTTTCTTTTTGCCTTGCCCTCTTACTCGGTTAGAATTTATGGATGTCATTCTACTTTTTGCAGTCCACCGATTCTGCGCTGACCGAGGAAGCCCATTACGATCACAAAGGGTAAACCTGCATAACAAGTGTACCGTTACGTGTTAAGACGTGTATATGGCCCTTTTTCCTTAAAAGAAAACTGGACTGCCTATAATCCAGAAATTTGAGCATAGGCCGCATTCCAGTCTTAAATTTGCGGCCGAATGTCAAAACACCCATCAACATTCGCCATGTCATGCAGTTGGTTTCAGGGGTATTCAGAATTTCCCCATCATTTTGTAATTATTTTTTCGAAAAATTTGCAGGTTCCTTTGTCAAGAATTTTGAAGTTTTCCGATATTCTGCGTATCCACTTTTCTACTGTGAAATGTAAGGCATTAAAAGCCTTTTGTGACCTATATTAGCGCGGGTATGTAGTGCATTTAAAATCAGGATATGATAGGGAAAATATGTTCTATAGATGGATGGTTACAAGCTCAGTATAAAAGGTACATTAATCCAAAGTAATAATCTAACAACTCTAAATGAATAAATGGTTTTTATTCATTGCAGATTATTCATAGTTTCGTCAGACTCAACATTTTATTGGAAAGTCTCACTACATTAACCTGTTTTAGAATTTGGACTGGCCTCCAAATATATTTAAAATAAAGTATTTCACCATTATCCAAAAGCCTTTTCTCGTGTTTCAGTGTAATCAATTTACTGCAGTGTTCAGTATATCGAGCATGCTGATTGCTGAGCCAGAACACCCAGGACTTCAGCATTACAGTGAACAACTCGAAAGGAATTATGTTCCCTCTGGTTTTAAGAGTTTGCTTGTTTATTAGAAAACAACCGTTTGCAATGACATTTTCTTTCAAAATGTTCGTGAAATTATTGTTCAATTCCTCCGATTCCTCGAACCCTGCGAGAGAATGCCCGGAAACAGTGCTTAAAACATCTGCCAATTTGAAAAGGAGACATGAAAAATTCTGCAAAAGTTTCCAAAAAGGGCAAATGAAAATATTACCTGACGGATTTTTATAATTTCATAAAAAAAACCTTCGCAAGAAAAGAAGGGAGAAATCCACATGAACTCGTTTGATCGACAGTTAAATTTGATCTACGAGAACTTTACTCCAGAAGACACCGCGAATAATGCGTGAAAACTTTAGTCATGGCTGTGCTCGTCACCGTTCTTGATAATAAAAAAGGCACGCGTTTTCCCTCTAAATTAAGTTCAATGCTGACATGCTGAGTCACAAATACGTGAATTTAATTTGGTATGTTTTTTAATGACTAACTTCGTGATGATCGCCGATTTTGTGGCGGAATAATTAGGTACGTTAAAGTACCATAAATCTATGCTGGATTAATCTCGAATATTCGAGACCTTTCTCAGGTTTTCCATAGCATCAACTTGCCGCCATTTCCTTGGGAAGCTCCAGTTCAGTACTGGAAGAGTCCATCGAGTTTAGTCAATTGTGATTGTGTGTTTTATCTTTGTTGGTGATTGTGATTTGGGGTTTAATGAAATGCATTTATCTTATTCTTTGGGATCTTGACAACAAGATCCCCAGGTGCACCCCACACCTGATTACAGTGTTATTTTATTTCGAATTTCTCGTCCTTTTGTGCCGATTCTGGCACATGGTTTTCAAAATTCAACCAACCAGTTTCTCGCAGCGAAAAATTCTATTAAAGTTGGATTTTGATACTAATATATATATTGAAAGAATAACAAAACAAATTGCGAAAAAACATCGAATTGAGAGCCATCCAATCAATGTTTCATTCAACCCAATTTTATGACGCGACCTATAGATCGGTAAATCAAGTAAAAATTTGGTCACTTCAATGACCTTTCTAAATAATACATCTTACAATTAATTTCAGTATTTGTTGCGTTATTTTATTGAGATTAGTAAATTTTTCCAACGAAGCTTTGAATATTTTTGACGAGTCCTTTACCATAACACGGCCGGGTCTTTTTAAAATGCCATAAAAATACAGGGAAAACTGTACGGTTTTTACGAGAGGAAATATTTGAAGCCGTACACCTTGTTTTAAGTTTTAATATGGCTTGATTAAATTTGTGAAGGAAGATTTGGAATTATAATTGTTGAACCAGATCTAGATGAAGATTCTTAAAGACAGGATAAATGAATTCAACACAGCAATTGGCCGGTGCGCGAACTGACCAGGGATTCTCTCCCAAACAAGCGCAAGCCCTTTGTTAAACAATTTCAGCAAACAGAAACACAAATAGTACAAAAGATATTCACAACAGTTTTNCGGCTTTGTCGGCATTGGATAAAAAAAGGCCGCCGCTGTTGCGTGACAACAACTGCTAAATGGGATTTGCTGCTTTCCATTCTTTCTTTTTGCCTTGCCCTCTTACTCGGTTAGAATTTATGGATGTCATTCTACTTTTTGCAGTCCACCGATTCTGCGCTGACCGAGGAAGCCCATTACGATCACAAAGGGTAAACCTGCATAACAAGTGTACCGTTACGTGTTAAGACGTGTATATGGCCCTTTTTCCTTAAAAGAAAACTGGACTGCCTATAATCCAGAAATTTGAGTATAGGCCGCATTCCAGTCTTAAATTTGCGGCCGACTGCCAAAACACCTCTCAACATTCGCCATGTCATGCAGTTTGTTTCAGTGGTATTCAGAATTTCCCCATAATTTTGTAATTATTTTTTCGAAAAATTTGCAGGTTCCTTTGTCAAGAATTTTGAAGTTTTTCGATATTCTGCGTATCCACTTTTCTGCTGTGAAATGTAAAGCCTTAAAAGCCTTTTGTGACCTATATTAGCGCGGGTATGTAGTGCATTTAAAATCAGTATATGATAGGGAAAATATGTTCTATAGAATTATAGATGGATGGTTACAAGCTCAGTATAAAAGGTACATTAATCCAAAGTAATAATCTAACAACTCTGAATGAATAAATGGTTTTTATTCATTGCAGATTATTCATAGTTTCGTCAGACTCAACATTTTATTGGGAAGTCTCACTACATTAACCTGTTTTAGAATTTGGACTGGCCTCCGAATATATTTAAAATAAAGTATTTCACCATTATCCAAAAGCCTTTTCTCGTGTTTCAGTGTAATCAATTTACTGCAGTGTTCAGTATATCGAGCATGCTGATTGCTGAGCCAGAATACTTCAGCATTACTGTAAAAAAACTCGAAAGGAATTATGTTTCCTCTGGTTTTAAGAGTTCACTTGTTTTATTAGAAAACAATCGTTTGCAATTGCATGTTCTTTCAAAATGTTCTTGAAATTATTGTTAAATTCCTCCGATTCCTCGAACCCTGCGAGAGAATGGCCGGAAACAGTGCTTAAAACATCTGCCACTTCGAAAAGGAGACATGAAAAATTCTGCCAAAGTTTCCAAAAAGGGCAAATGAAAATATTACCTGACGGATTTTTATAATTTCATAAAAAAAACCTTCGCAAGAAAAGAAGGGAGAAATCCACATGAACTCGTTTGATCGACAGTTAAATTTGATCTACGAGAACTTTACTCCAGAAGACACCGCGAATAATGCGTGAAAACTTCAGTCATGGCTGTGCTCGTCACCGTTCTTGATAATAAAAAAGGCACGCGTTTTCCCTCTAAATTAAGTTCAATGCTGACATGCTGAGTCACAAATACGTGAATTTAATTTGGTATGTTTTTTAATGACTAACTTCGTGATGATCGCCGATTTCATGCCTACGGGTATTGATCCAAAAGTTTGTTAATTGTGTGGAATAAATACGTTTTTACACCCAGCAGTTATTTAATGATGCTGTACCATCCATCATTGAGGTACATGCCAGTTTTTTCAAAATTCAGTAAGACATAAAACTGAAGAGTACGCCTTAATTATTCAACAAAAATGAAGCCAGAGCCAAGGCACATACATTGGCAAGAAAAAGACAATGTAAATGTGACAATGTTAAATGAAGCCACGCCGATATTGTTTAAAAAGGCATTGCAAGCAGTTGCTATTGCAACACTGTTTTGTTGCTGACTGATATAGTTTCTGTTCTTCAGCACTAACTTTTTTTCTTACTGATTATGTAATCTGGCCTATAGACTATAGTGACCTATAAGCGAGTCAGCCGTCTATTCGTCTTGTAACCTCATCCCTTGTGGAATATACCGATTGTTTTACCTGTGTTTAGAAATCCTTGCATTCTAAAAGTCGACTCGTTTGCAGTAGCGCTCATCAGGAAGAAAAGTTGAATACACATCCTCTCGAATTGTTAATCTGTATCAATCTTCCATCCCCAAAACTATAATCGAAGTTTCTAAAATCTAAAAGTCAAAGAGAATTGTTGTAATAAAATAAAAAACATGAACAAGGAAAAGATTTTTCGGGACAAAATGGGAGACCGTCCATGTTGGGATTTTGAGTATCAATTTTATTTTATTAATAAATGAATGAAATTATTTGGTCACTTGCACTAAGAATCATGCAGAATCGAAAAGTTTTTTTAAAGTGCCAATGCAATTTCTGCCTAGGCTGATATTTTTTATGCAATGAATGCAATATTAAATCAATCAACGTCTTCAAATGTACACACATTGACCCCTCTTTCTTATGATTATATTCTCGCCAAACAACAGATGAGCAATTTTTTTTAGATTCCCAGGGTGGTGGTTTCATGAAAACTATGGTGAATTTCGGAAGTCCCCCAAGTCGCAAAACTATTGCAATGCCACTCGCATGAATATTGAATTAAAAGAAATGACGACGAAGGGAAAATAAATGCCAACTTTCTTACTTAAAAATGCATTTCCTCGTTCAACAGGCACAAAAATAACGCTTTTATGTACAGCACCTCAATCTCATGCATTATTCACAGTTTGCTGTATCCAATCGACAAACTTTGAAACTCGGGTATAAACTCCCGGGTTCAGTGGAATTGCGCATAAAAATCCTTCCGAAACGATGCCGATTTCAGTGAATTTCCCAGCGTCCTTGACGAATAAGGGACCTCCGCTGTCACCCTATTCAGGCATAAAAAGTGTATTTTGCAAGTTTAAAGAAAAATGCAAAATAAGCGACGACTGAATTACCTGACAGGAGTCTCTAAATCCGAACCATCCAGCACACAATTCAGTGTCTTTTATGTTGAATCCTCCAAACATATTCAAGCTCATCAGGACTCGACAGGCCAAATTAGAGATCACTGGCAGTGTGACTTTGCGAAGAACACTCGCTGAGATACCGTCTGTTCACCCAAAAGGAAAGCAATTATCAATTCAGGCATTCCGGTGATTTATTGCTTGGTTGGAAACTTATTTTTTTCGAACCATAAACGAGTCTTCCCCAGCCGGCAACAACAGCCTTTACGCCGTCCGTCGGATAATCAGGCGTTGGTAAACAAATGGGCTGTACGAAGTTGTCCCAAGTAACCGATTTGCTGAGTTTGAGCAGCGCGATGTCGTTTTCACTTCCACCATTTGTTGTCACTGTGTGAAAAACAATATTGAATGAATGAACAGAACACTTTATTTGCCGCTTTTCAGTGTTCACTAGGTTCAATCAAGATTTCCACATCCAAGCCCCCTCCCCACCCAACCCAAATCCACTCAAAGAAATTTAATCTTTTCAGAGCAGGAAACATGGATAACAAAAATTAAAGAGAATACAATCCACAAAATACAACTGGACATCTGACATGTATGCATACACCCAGCAGTTATTTAATGATGCTGTACCATCCATCATTGAGGTACATGCCAGTTTTTTCAAAATTCAGTAAGACATAAAACTGAAGAGTACGCCTTAATTATTCAACAAAAATGAAGCCAGAGACATGGATAACAAAAATTAAAGAGAATACAATCCACAAAATACAACTGGACATCTGACATGTATGCATACACCCATTCCTTCCCTGACATTGAAAACAAAATATCAGTAAAAATTAATTTAAAGCACAAGGTCTTCACCTTGTTTCTGTATGAGGTTTAGTTGAATGAACAATTTAGAGAGAATCTTTGATGAGAAATTATATAAGTCCAACAGTAAACAAAACTGTAATGTGACAAAATGTACACATTAACGGAGCCACATTTGTGTTGCACTATGGTCATGAATCTCATGATTGATTTCAAGACTAATTTATTTTTTTAAGCTTCAAGCAACACAAAGTATTTTGCTGGGGAATTCAAGAAGCATTTCATTTGAATTTCATATCCTGAAAATTAATAGACTCTGTTGATTCCTCATTATGTTTCAGTTTCAGGAAGAAGAAAAAAAACCCCGATACCACATTCAAGATTTATACAGATTGTAAGTCTTGCGTCAAGGAACTTTAGATTACGTAGAGAGATTTTCAAAAGTGCATTTGAATTCCATTTTTATTTGAAGATTTGTGTTGATTAAATGCAACAATACACTTACAATCAGCAAATCTGAAACGAAACCACACGTACGATGCACCCCAATTCTTCAGACTTGAACAAAGATCATTCGAATATTCGAATATATTCGAATATATTTTATATTCGAATACATTCAACATTATTTGCTTAAGATGAAAACGCAGAGCTTTTGCGGGAATGATTTTTAAATACTGTTTTTTGAAATATAGAAGCGTTAGCATATCGAAGTAATATAATATTCGTCTTCGCACGATTTTCTTCGCCAGAGACTTGACATTAAAAATAATCGTAAAATAACTAATGTACATCATAACACAGAATTGGAGTTCCGAAATGCCTGGAAGCATCATTTAACTCAATACAAATATTTATGCAGGTTTTTTTTTATTACCGTATCCTTCGAATTTTTGGAAGTCAACGTCATGTATACGCACCATAATAGTCCGGATGTCGAATTTGTTGTTTCACAAGAATGGACTCCTCATCGGGCATCTGCGGCTGTTCAGTGGGTTCATCGGTGTCATATTCACGTATCACAACGTAAATTGTAGAATAGGCTATGCTAAAAAGAAAGAAAAAACGAAATGATCAATAAATTACAGTAGAACATATCACAAAAGACTGTGATGTAAAGAATTGGAGTGTCAACGGATTGACGAGTCTCAAAAAAGTGAGCACAAGCAAGCGAGTCCAATATAATACAGCATAATTTATGACATTCGCAGAGTATGCATAAAAACCTGACCACTTACTCTCAATAAACTTAGTAACCTGTGAGAGTGTATTGATTACAGCATTTTCATACTCATTTTCAACACCTGACATAGACTTTCTGCTCAAATAGAGTATACTGTAAGTACTAGCTCTTTTATGCAATTTTTACTCTTTTGTGTTCTTGCTCATTTTATTTAAAAATTTTACAGAAGTTTGAAATCATAGCTGCAAATCACATCCAATTTTGGACGGGTTGCAAATATATGGACCATTATAGTGGAGCTGAGCCTGCAGAACAACTACCGCAATGGCCAAAGTCAGCCTCACACAGCAGCCGCTCATATTCGCAGAAATAAACCCGAATTCCTAAATATTCAAGGAATTTTGAGGCAAGCATTTCAATGGTGTTTTTGAGTCCTTACCAATGCCCGGCTGTCATTGCCCATGATTCGTGGATCATCGATCCACCGCAGAAATGATTATTTGGCGCTGCAGTCGCTGACAAAGAGACCATGAATGGATACTCTCCGCGTTCAGCTTCGAATCCACCAACGATGTACGGTCCAATGCCTTCTTTCATCACGAAAGTTACGTTTGAAGATTTGGCATCGAGCGACACCTGTGTTACATTTTTGCGCCGTCGTGTCGAAGTGTGGGGTATATGAAGCCTAGGAGTCGGTGCCTCTCCACAGGATGTAGTCAAGGCAACTGTTCCAACGTATTGCATTCGTTCGATCATTAAAAAACAAAGTGCAAGATGGGTTTTAAAATGCAACATGAATTAACTTGACGGCATAAACGTCCGCTAATATAGTAAGTTCAACAGTACGCAGATTTGCCAGGCAGAAATCAGAAAAAAAGGAGCGTAAATATCCGACGAATCTCGTGAAAAGTCAACACGGGAATTTTGTCTCATTAGAACTTAGAAGTTGAAAAAAATATTCATTTCAAACCAATTTTAAATCAATAGCTTCTAGCCAGTGAGAAAAACGGCGATTTGAATGGTTTGTAGTCTTTTATAACAGATTTACAAAATATCTCGTATTTTGAGCAGAATTTGACATATTGTAAATTCTCCATTGTTTCTTCAAAAATTGTTTTGAAAGATTTTAACGCCAACGACTGTGGGGTGCTTCTCCAAATACACACTTTTGTCTGTAGAATTTTGAATCCTATTCAATCATTTTCTTCCGTGAATAAATTTGAAGTTAATGAAGCGTCTAAAATTCAACCAAGGCACCACGACGCAGGCTTAAGAGACGAATTTTTCCGGTCACTGTCTCTTCATGGTAGTTTACTTCGACAAAATCAATTAAATCTTTCATATGCACAAATAAATGCTCCTATATGATATTATTTTTTAATTTTTTTTCGCTAGGCGTTCTCAATAAATGCACACTCGAATTCCGACGAAGGCATGGAAATATACTCACGATTTATCACGTCAGCCTCCAGAGGCATAATGAGATGGTTCACAAAGATGCAGCACAGTGTTAAATGGACGATCATACTGTTCCTTGATCCAGCAGACTTCAAGATATATTTAATATCTTAAATATTACTCTCGAAGAAGATTGGCGATTGACAACGTGAACACCCAAGCACAGAATTTACTGGCTTCAACTTTGCTCTCTGCGAAGCCTTTCTTCAATTGAGAAATATTAAAATATTTCCGCCACATCGAAATGCTGGATTTTTTCTTTCTTAGTACCGTACAGCCCATGAATCCAATTCTTCCATGGTTTTCAGCTTATGTTCACCCTGAATAATACCTATGAAACTCGAACTGACTTCCTTATTATTTCAAACACGACCTACAAATTAGCGCAGAATACAGTAACAAGAAATCCCTGTGAAAAACGTTTCCTCATTGGCAGTTCGAGGATAACTGAGCATCTTTCAATCCATGCTTCTACACTTCACGTGTAACTCGAATGATTATAATCAATGCAATGATCGGCACGATAAGTGGAGGGTGCAACTGGGACTGGGGTCAATGACATCAGTCACACCCAAGTCCCCTTTCTTCGTTGGCATTCTTAACCCTTTCTGAGGTTGTAAAAAAATTTGCACGGACAAGTGAGTGTAAAATTCAAGAGAAACGTCAGGTTTGCTAAGCGCCACCGAACCATGCGCCGACTCTCTGACTTCACTGACAATAAATGATGGGTTATTTCCAACTTTCTAACCGAAGAATACTACAAATGAAGACCAATTTTCCATCAGAGTTTCAGCCTCAACAATCTTTCCTATTTCTGGAACAGGAAAAGATTTGTGAACCTTTTTATATGTACAAAAAATCATGGGTACATGATGATGAATGCCTGATATACGGTAGTCACACACAAAAAAGCGACGATTTCCTCAATAAAGCAAAACTTTATCACGGGCATCAGTCCTAGATGAACGTTCTCACCTTTCCAGGCGTTTCATCATCGAAAAAATCAATGCTGTGGCGAACATCTGTAATATTGGGGGTGAAAGGTGGAATAATTAATAATGAATAAATCAAGAAGTTGTTGTCCAAACGCTCAATTTCTTCTTTTCCCAAATTTTCCACTTAGAGATCCAACTTTTTCAGGGGCCAATTTTCAGAACAAGCTTTTCTGCGAGTTCAAATCATCCGCAAACGGAGCATCAATTCTCAAATATTTTCGTTTTCTTTTCAATCGAAAACAAATCGAATGCGAACCTCGACAACCAACCAACAGCAAATCTGGGTATAAAAAAGCGACATAAAAAATCGGGGCTTGCGATTTTCGATGCACGCAGGGAAGGGTTTGTTTTTGGAGTACACTGAACTTTTTTTCTGATTTTTTTTTTGTGTGGGTCACATGATCAAAATAAAAGTACACGACGAAGAGATGAACGGCAACTCAAACGTGATTAACTTCTGAGGTTGTAAAATTGGCATTTCTGCTCGGATTTTCCACCACTTCATTCTTGAAAAACGCATGGAGAAAGCACAAAATCGAATATGCACCGGTTTTCAAACGGGAGACAATGTCATTAAAATTCAGACTCAAAGAGCAGCGCATCTGGAGTCAATTCAATTGATATGTCCTTTTGAGAATTTCTGAACGAGAACATTCCAACTTTTTTCATCAGCATTCATCAAACGAGCGGCGTTTTCTCAATAAATCGAAGAACCAGAAGGATGGTTCAAAAGTCTTGTCTGCATTACATGAAATGAAATTCTTTGGAAATCCAAATTCCTCCGCCAGAATACTTGAAACCACTACGAGTAACAATTCAGCGCTAACTCGGGAAATTTTTTCGCCAATTATATTCATTTTAGAGCAACCTTCATGCAATATTCAACATTGCTCAAAAAAATATTTCTTAGATAAAAAATGGTTTCTTTTGGATTGGGATAAAAGTATAATATTGCTACAACGAAGACATTGGGACCAGAGAAATGTTTTGTCATCGAAATAAGGCAGGTAAAAAAAAATTGTAACTATTGGGAAGGGACCAGAAAAACGTATTTGTTGTAAGCAATAATGCGTTTCATTGAGATTCATTTTAGCAAGATTTTACCGCATCATGTACAGGATATTGCTGCTAGAAATACCTGCCGATTGCATTGTAATCAATATACAAGAAATATTTAATTATGACAAATTCTTGCTTGCAACCAATTACAATATTTTTCAGACCTCTACCAAATAGTCGCTATGTTATATCAATTTTATGATAGCAAACCTTCTTCCAATTCCAATGGTTTTCTTGTAGACATTTTTCCTCTTTTAAAATAACTTGCGACTGTCTGCAACGTCGAAAAAAAAGAATCAAGTGTGACGGACAGGTAAACATTAAGCCCAATTCAGGAGGTGCCTCTCTGTATTCACCTCATTCGAAGCTGAGTGAGCAAAAGTTTGAGCAATCATTAAGAAACGAACAATTATAACTCCTCGGAAATTACGCCCACATCGATCAAGAATAGAAGAAGCCAACACTGGTCTGACAAAACTCGTGAACCAACCCTCAAGTTTTCAAGAACAATCTTGTTCGCTCCGGGTTATCAAGAAATAAAAGAATCAAGACTGATCATTATCAGGATATTGAGAAATTTTTGAAGAAAAAAAAATTTATGAAACTATTCCCAGAAACGAATGAATTAAACTGTTATCAATTCATTCGTTAGGCAAACGAGGTTAAAAATTCAGCGGATAATTCACCCCCGCCCCTCCAAAAAGAACAGCAAGTATTTTTCAGAGAAAAAAAAGTTTTTCCCTTTGTCAAAAAAATATTCATCGATTTTCGGTCTCCGAGAATCAGCTTTCACCCAACCAACGAACACCGAAAAAAAAACAACCAATGGGAGAAAACAAAACTCTCCTTTCTTCGGAATTTGCAATCAACATCATGATCATGACGGTGCGACGTGTTTCTCGACGACGACGCGGTCCGGGGCGTTTTCCGTCGTCGGGCTTTCGACGACGCCTTCAGCGCACAATTGTCGGAGATTGGACAAGATGTTCTCGTGGAATGCCGTGGGGCCAGTGCCGGTACCCAGGGATCGGTCGGGTTCCATCCCTGGCGGGAAGTTGGGCGCCAGTGGGTGCCACTGGGTCACGGGTCTTCTTGGTCGTTTCATCATAGTTACCCAGTGGTCGCCCCCGGCGCCTTCCACTGCTGCACCCAGCGCCACGCATCCCATTAACTCATTTCGGCCCACTCTAAAAAAATTAAACAAAAACAAAAATTGGCACAGGTTTCGTGCCTTGGATATTCTTGAAATACTGTAATAGAAGAGCTTTTTTTTGTTCTACAATGGCACTCAGGAAAACATTTTTTTTTGGAGATGTGACACATTCTCCAATTACTGTATATTAATGCGAAGGTGCTGATAAAAAATGACACGCGTTCTACGTCGAACGAAGGCGCAAATTTGTAATTTCGAAAAGAAGGCATGAAACAATTCTTCAACTATATACAGTACTGCAGTCCTAAATATCGTTAGTTTCACAATCTCAAATTAATTGACGTAACAGTTTCCAGGGCATTCCTCCAACAAAATATTTTTCCGTACGGGACACGCGTATAATAATTTTGAAAAAAAAAATAAATACGCATCCGAAATTGCAATTTTATCCATTTCGACGACGCCTTCAGCGCACAATTGTCGGAGATTGGACAAGATGTTCTCGTGGAATGCCGTGGGGCCAGTGCCGGTACCCAGGGATCGGTCGGGTTCCATCCCTGGCGGGAAGTTGGGCGCCAGCGGGTGCCACTGGGTCACGGGTCTTCTTGGTCGTTTCATCATAGTTACCCAGTGGTCGCCCCCGGCGCCTTCCACTGCTGCACCCAGCGCCACGCATCCCATCAACTCATTTCGTCCCACTCTAAAAAAAATTAAAAAAAAAACAAAAATTGGCACAGGTTTCGTGCCTTGGATATTCTTGAAATACTGTAATAGAAGAGCTTTTTTTTTGTTCTACAATGGCACTCAGGAAAACATTTTTTTTTGGAGATGTGACACATTCTCCAATTACTGTATATTAATGCGAAGGTGCTGATAAAAAATGACACGCGTTCTGCGTCGAACGAAGACGCAAATTTGTAATTTCGAAAAGA